TCAATTATTGGTTAGATAACTATATAACATTTAAGTATAATAACAAAAACACCACATCGTATAGTATGTAACTTCAAAACTAGCTATTGAAATGAAATATTCGTAATAAGGTTACATCGTTCCAAATTAGCCCATAATTCAATTAAAACTAATTGAATTTGAGCACATCACCGGAAATTAAGAGGAGGAAATAATTTGGGAATAGAAACTTGTTGAATCTCGTAAATAAAACTCCCGAGCATCGCCTTGTCTTCTTCAACTTCAAATTAAATCTCAAAAATCCTATTAATTTAGCCTCGGTTTGGATACATGATTTATATGGTTAAACTTCAATTTCAACCACACATTTCAAGTATTATCCATTTATCCACCAATCGTATTTATATATTTATAAATAAATTATTTATAAATTCTTCCCAAATAGAGACTAAGTGTAGAGTATAATTGTGTGAGTAAAGTCCTCATTTTATATGCCAAAGACATGAAGTATATATCAATGTTCTAAAAGCCTTGACAAGGCTCCACTTATGCACGCCTAGATATGAGGCATCTCAAAATGTCCAGCATAAGGAACGACAAGGCATGGAAAAAGGTGATCAACTTCCCTTTGACATCATATTGTGGGTTTCAATCTGACTATATCTATATCAAGACTTACATAATGTCACATGATACTCTATCATTTGACAATTTAAAATACAATCAACTTTTTCATCAAATTATTTCCCTCCAACTTATCTTCGGTATTGCTTCTGGATAATTTCTTCTGATAAAATAGATTATTTCATGCGGGTCCGGGCGCCAAAAGACTCATATTGTTTATTTTTTCAATATTTTGTAGCCATTTCTTGGATATAATGATTAATGTGGACCAAGGTACTAAATTATCTTGGGCGATTTCTTGGACCTAATTGCACGTCATTTTTATTTATTTAATGGTCATAAAATAATTAAAAATGAAAAACACATTTTTATACTTAAGCTTGAGGCTTGACCTCATCTTCTTATCATACCTAAGACCTTTTAGAACCCCTGCATACATAGTACAAAAGATGAAGAACCTTATTTATGCATCACCAATGTGCCATGGAAATCGTGTAATTTTGAACCGTACTCAGAGTGAAATTTTCCTAATTTCACTCTCACAAAACATTTGTTACTAGGATTTTTGCTTGTACAAAAATTACCAACCCGCTCTCCCTTGAGTTTCAACTCTTATGGAAATATGTACTTCAAAATTTTGCACTTACAATACCAATTGAAATTCTCAAGTATTCCATTTTCTTTCTCTAATAATAAAAACGGTGCTCCGTCTGACCCGTCTTCTCAGTGTGCTCGCCGGAGGGGTGGGAGCCTAGGCTCCTTCCTCTTCCCCCTTTTCCCTTCTCTCTTCTTCTTTGTTTCCCTTTTCTTTTCATTGCCTGCGGTTTCGATGGTTTTGCAGGCGTCGTTTTTCTTTGGGTTGGTGGTGGTCGCGGGTGCTTTGGTCGAGGAGCGGGGCGGCGAGGTATGGCTGGTTCCGGAGCGGCAGTCTTCCCCGTGTGTGGAGGTGGTGTGTTTTTCTGTTTTCGGGCTGGGTCCTCATTTTCTGCTCGGTCGTCTCCGGTGGCTGGAGTAGGCGAGGCTGCTGCTGGTTTTGGGGTTTGTCGACAAGCCCTTTTTGGTTGGGTTTCCAGCGTTGGCTGCGGGGTGTTGATCGGTGGTGTTGGTGTTTGGTTAGTGTCGGTTGGTGGTGTGTGTTTGGTGTTTAGTTTAGGTGTTATTGTTTTGTTGTGATTTTTGTGTTGTTTTGTCTGTGTGTTTGTTCGATCGTTGTGAAGTCAAGACACTGCCCGCTCATTGTGGGGATGCTAAATTGCTGATTGCGTAGTTGGCTTTCAGTCGGGTCTTGCCTGTATTGTAAAATCACAGCTGTTTTATGACTTCGTTTGGTGGTGTGTTGGTTGTGTGGTTGGT